CACCTGGCTGCTGGAAAGGTCGCGGCTATGATTGAGCAGCCTGCCCCTGCATGGGCTGGTAGAGAGACTGCTGCTGCTGGAATTGCCCCTGTCTGGGCTGATATGGTGGCCTCTGGAAGCCCGGTGGTCCCTGGTGGACTGGTGGGCTGGGATTTGCCCCACCCCAGGAGAAGTTGGGATGCTGGCGCCACCCCTCATTGTAGGTGCTACTGTAGGGGTCATTGCGCCTGACATTGTTGATGAAGTTCACCTTCTCCTGGGGTGTGGTCGATTCCTTCATCGCCTGGCAGTCTTCCACTGTATGATGGGTGCTCTCGCACCACTGGCAGAGCATCGCCTGCTGCTGTCCGGTCCCTGGAATCATCCCGGAACGATCGATAGCTGAAACCAGCTTCGATACCACCTGCACCAAATCAGAGGAATGGTTTCCCACAAAATGTACACCTCGGCTTGGTGCTCTCCTTGACCTCTTAGTAGTGCCCCAATCATACCCGTTCTCTGCCATCTCCTCAAAGAGTTGATTCAGTTGCGGCGGTGTTTTGGTCAGCATGTTCCCGCCACAAACTGAGTCAATCAGCTGCTTGTCTTCTGGGAAGAGGGCATGATAGAAAGTTCCCACCTTGAAAGCATCGTTGAAACCATGATTGGGACACCTCAGGAAGAGACTGTTATATCTCTCCCAAGCATCCCGGATGGTCTCATCTTCATCATGGGTTAAGTGGGTGATCTGCTTCTACAAGTCCGCCGTCTTCGACGGAGGATGGTAGTGGGTAAGGAACTTGTCCGCCAGGTTGGCGAACGTGGTGATGGAGCCTGGAGGTCGAGTGTCTAGCCACTCCTTGGCCTGCCCCTCCAGGGTGAATGGGAAGTACCTCAGCCGGATGGCATCTGCTGGGACCCCGTTGATCTTGATTCCATCGATGAGCTCGTGGAATCGCCTGAGATGTGATCGGGGGCACTCCCCTTCTTTGCCACGGAACATCACTGAGCCGTGCAGCATGGTGATTACTGAGGTGCTCACATCAAAATTATTGGCTGGGACATGAGGGTGTTGAATGGGTGACCTCATGTCTGCAGCCCTGGCGGTCCAGTAATGTCCCATGGTCTGCTCCCCAGGATTGACCACATCATGGTCTTGTGGATCAGCCATCTCCTCCTCTTTAGTGATCTGTAGCTGTGCTAGCGCATCCTCCGCAGCCAGTCGCGCCTTTAGAGCCCGCTTGAAGTTTCTGCAGGTTCGTTCAAGCTCCTGGTCTAGTGGTAGTAGATCTCCCGACTGGCTACGGGTCATGCACTACCTGCACACAATCAGCAGAAACAACCCGTGAAGGCACACAGGTGGAAGAGATAAAATGCAATAAAGAAAAAGCTAGAGTAACAAATTCTCACGTTTCCCCAATAACCTAGAGGGTTCCCCGGCAACGGCGCCAAAAACTTGACACTCCAAAACACAACACCAATCTGCAACCAAGTGTAATCGCAGACCGGGAATGCAGTAAAGTGGCAAGTTCAATTATCAACCCGGGGTCTAGATCTACTTCTTACTCAGTGATTATCTATTATCTAGCCAACTAAGTTAAGTGTTTGTTGTTTAAAGCAAAAGCAGAAAGAAAGCAGGAATTGGTACGGTTTTCTCAAGCAGGTAAGAGTCACTCGGGAATGAGTCCCCCTAGCTCCTTAGTTAGGTTTCAATTGTAATTACCCTGGGTTGATATACTGTTGATTAGACTGCGGAAGATCCGACAGTAGCTTGGAATCTCTTAAGCTGACGAAGCCCTCTCAGTCTAACTACCCGGCAGACGACTAGTCTTCACCGGGATAGAAAGCTGAAGCAGTAAGAACAGAACTCCACTACTGGAATTGGATTCCAGTACAAAGCAGTAAACTGGCAACTCTCGTATAGCCAATCTCCTACTACCGAATGATGAGACTCTAGCAACCTAATCAGATTCTATCTATCTCAGATTGCAGCAGGAATCAGGAAAAGTTGATCAGACTTCAATTGACTCAATAAACATGCATCATTCGATTAAAATCAAACAGTAATATCATCCCAAGTCATTACAATCAATTCCTAACACATAGAACTAGGGTTCTTCATCCCCAAGTGAGAGAGAGGTTCTACTCCACAGAGAGAGAGAGGAAAACAAGGTACAAAGCAGTCATACTCATTACAATGGGATGAATCTGCTCTGGGATGATGATTTCCACTCCTATGACGATCTCCAAGCTTGATTTGATGAAACCCAGCTCCAAGATAGCTTCTAGGATGTGTTCTTTGTCCTTTCTCTCTCTAGGGCTCTGTTTTTTGCTCAAAAAGTCCGATTCTCTCTCTTGCAGCCCGAAATTGGGTTAAAACCAGGAATTCCCGACTCATACGGGCAGGGCCACATGGCCGTGTGGCATACCCAGTTGCCCGTGTGACTTCAAAATGCCACGTATCGATTAATTGGACTTCAGTCAACCTACACGGCCAGGGTCACACGGCCGTGTAACTCACCCTGCCTGGCCGTGTGAAGTCTCTCACAATTCAACACTGCCAAACCACTCCTTCACACGGCCGTGTGGATGTCAGGGCAAGCCGTGTGAAGACTCGCACAATCCCACACGGCCAAAGTGGTCACTTGCACGGCCGTGTGGCTTCTGGTTGTGCCCGTGTGGCTTCCTTTTTGCCTTTCCTTGCGCCCGATATTCGTCCAATCGACCCCGAACTCGCTCTTAAACCTTCATACACTTGCTAGGACCTGAAATATCATAAACAAACACAACCTAGCGTGAAATCGGCCTAAAACACGAGAATTACCAACTCAAACGGCTCCAGAATAGGGGTAAAAACATGTGCAATTAACGGCTTATCAGAAGCTATACCTCATATGTTAAACTCCGCCTTTGCAGCCTGTAATTCCTCAGGTACTTCTTCTCATTGGTTGGTTGATTCAACAGCTTTCAACAATATGACTAATTCATCTGAGCGTTTTTCTTAGCTTCACCCTACCCATATGTGTTCTTTCCAAGTTGCTAATGGTTTTCGGCTTCCTGTTTCGGGTTTGGGCGTTGCAAGAACATGAGATATTCAATTTCCAATACATTATATGTTCCAAAATTAGTTCCTAGTTTGGTGTTTGTGGGGAAGTTGACCGAAGATGGGTGCTCTGTGACTTTTAATCATAACGGTTGTGTTGTGCAGGATCAGAACACTAGGAAGGTTCTGGGAACGGGTAGAAAGGATGGGAGGGTGTTTGTTTTGGACAAGTATCAGCGATCACCAGAGGGAGTTCAGGATCGGGTTCGGCAATCGCATATAGGAGTTCGGGACCAGACACGAGATTGCAACAATATTTCTTTGTCTTCTAGTTCTTTCTCTTTGGAGAATAATCATAATCGGACCCATATTTTGGATGTTTCTGGGCCGTTGAGTATTTATTATGTTGATGGTTTGGATTCTCGGCATTGTAAATCACAGAAGTCTCTTTCAATTTGGGATTTATGGCATTCTCGGCTTGGCCATCCTCATACAGCTCGTTTGTTATATATGTTTCGTCGTAGCTTGTTGCCTGTTTCCCTTGATCCAAAATTCCATCCCTCTTGTTAATGTGTTAGCTGTATTGAAGCCAAGGCTACTCAATCTTCGTTCACTGCCAGTGAGACGTAGTATGACTCACCATTCGACCTTGTTCATGTTGAAAGCTTCGAGCGCGAGAAGCCTGTTTCCCCTTTGTGCTGAAACTTGCTCCTGAAAAACCCTAATCTGCCTTTTGGAAAATCAAGTGAGAAGGAGGAGAAATGATTTTGATCGAAACCAGTTCGATAGGCAGCAGAATGAATGAGAGTTATTCAAAAGCGTGAGACTTTGTATTGGGCTCGGTTTGACAGGCCCACTCTCGTTACCTGGCCTGTCCACTTACTAAATAGACTAAAACGATGCACTTTGGCTTTTACTTCACTCCCAGCTTCTTCTTCCTTTTCTCCGAGCTGATCCCTTGTGTAAGTTATACACTATATCCTGCAAAACAGAGTCTGACCCGAGCAAAACAGAGTACAACCACAAGAGCATATACTGATGTGCAGAATTGAAGGACACAGACTCAATTTTTTACGTGGTTTCCAGTATTGGGCGAACGAATAACCCAATACTGACTATTCCACGGTTGGAAGATCACGATTTGTGATTGCCAACGATTCACTAGGTATGATGCTTCTTGGTTCGATGATGGCTTTACACTCACTAGATTAACCAGTCCAATCCAGGGTGGTTATTCTACCTTCTACTAACTAACTCACACTACCCAAGCTATCCAGCTTCCGTGTTGTCCAACACTCTTCCTCTCTAACACTGTTTCACTCCAGAATCAATGTCAGAGCTATCTCTTCACTATCAATCACACTTGCAATTTCCTTAGCCTCTCCCGTGTGTATTGATCTCCCGTGAAGTCATCTGTGTTGATCCCTGATCGAGCTATTTGTACTTCATACAGCTAGCCGTTGTTCACCAAGAAGGTAGGTCTTCTTCTTTGAATTCCTTCCTGAAGTGCCTCGTCTAATAAAGCCTTCCAATTTATTCAAATCTGCTTTCCTTGCGTAGATGATTCTTTCCACATGTAGCTTCTCCAAATCCACGATATCTTGATTTTGAGGTAAGTGACTGGCTTACTTGCCAACAATCTCCCCCTAAGCCAGTCAATGATCCTCTCAGCTGCATGTGGAGTTCCTGCACACACTTCAACAAACTGTTGCGTGCAGACTGTTCCAAAAAAAAAAAAACTTAAGTAGTTCAACCTAGATAAAAACTAGAAAGAGCACCGTTTTATTAAACCCCTGACGATGTCACTCAAGAACATTCAGACACAAATATAAAACTAAAATGACATGAGCTTAGACAGAGCATTATTCAAGATTGATACTGCAACCCCTAACACACTAAATCTAACCAACGTAATCCCTACAAGGATCAGTTTCTTGACTCCCCCTAAGCTCGACTCCCCCTAAGCTTAGTGTTCCCTTTAAAAAGTGAACCTAGGAGATGGCACATAATCTGATATAGCCTCTTCATCCTCCATCATCAGATTTCTATTGCTGCTACTTGCTTCCTCCTGCCTGAACATAGCTTGAACCGCTTCCAAAGGATCCACCATGGGTCGCTTTCCATTATCTCTGGCTATGGTAACCATATCTGCCATTTCTGGTTCTTCCTCAGCTTCATCCCCACCTAGCTCAGACAGATGAAGTCCATCCTGATCAGAGGGAACTCCATCAGCTGCTTCTCCCCCTGGAGCATTGACCAGCGGGCTGCGACGACCCACTGATGCATCCACCTTACGTAGGATAAACTGAGCACAAAGGGAGCTCAGCATATCAACACGAGCCACCTTAAAGCGGAGATCTAATCCTAAGGCCAGTAGAATCTGAGTGATTTGTGGAGCAAAAGGAAGCTCGGCATTATAGTTATCAGCATGATAGTTCAGCATGTGATCAAACATTAGATGTGGGTAACTGATGACCCGATTCTCCTTGGCACTAGCCAGAATCCATAGATCGGATGGATAGATAGTATTGAGCCCAAATGATCTAGGCAGAAAGCATCGGGTGATGTAAAAATGCAGAACTTTGAGGTCATCTGGAAGTCTACCAGAATGAAATTCCGAGGGGTAGTAACGACCAGTGTCACGCGTATACAGACGCAGAGCATCTCCCTCATTAAATTCAACAGAGTGAAAGTCCAGCTCATTCATGACTTCTGCTCCAGCGATGGGTATGGCAAGCAAAAGTGACAACAGTTCCACATTGATAGTGATCAAGTAATTGTACACTATCGTAGTGAAGCAGGGGGAGAGACATGGAGACAAGGCTTCATGTTAGAGTAGAACATCCGAACTGCCTCAGGACGAAACCCATAGTTTCGATTTGGAAGAATATCACCCCATCCGACAGAGTTGATCAAGCGAGGAATATCCATTCCATATCTGTTGAACCGGGAAGGATCAAGAGTGATGGAAGGATGCAAAGAACGATCCTGAAAATGTTGTAGATAGCGAGCATATCCCGCTGCATCCTCAAACCCTTTGCCATTGAAAATGGCAGCTTGAGCCAGACGCAGGGATGCTACATGATTGTTTGAAGCAGCCATGAGATCTTTGAGAAGGTGAGATGATACTTTGTGTGAGGTGAGATGAGGATCTCGACCTTGACCCCCTTTTAAGGTGGAGAAGAGAGTTTATTTAGGGAATGTGATATATGAGTAAGGAATGTAATGAAGCTTGCTTCGGAAGAAAATAGATTTCAAGAATTATTACGATTAGAAAGGGTAGCTCAAAACATATTTTAGGAAAGATTTGGAGATTGACCAGACCTTTGGAAACCTAAATAGAATAGGTAACTCAGATCAATTAGAAGATTCCTGGAACATAGGTGACATGTTGGCTATGTCATTTAGGCTGAATAACCCTAGCTCTCGACCTATATGAATGAAGGATTCCGAGCCCAAAGGCTTTGTGAAAATATCAGCCCACTGACACGAGGTTGGAACAAATTCTAATCCTATTTGACCTTCCTCTACCAATTCACGAATAAAGTGATAACGGATGTCAATGTGTTTAGTTCGTGAATGTTGAACTGGATTTTTTGTCATATTTATTGAGCTTGTGTTATCACATAGCACAGGAACTGAGCTAGGACACAAACCATAATATTGAAGTTGATGTTTCATCCAGAGAATCTGAGTACAGCAGCATCCTGCTGCAATGTACTCAGCTTCTGCTGTTGACCAAGCGACTGAGTTTTGTTTCTTACTGAACCAGGATACCAAGGAAGTGCCCAGGAATTTACATGTTCCTGAGGTACTTTTTCGATCTAAGACACATCCTGCATAATCAGCATCCGAATATCCTAAGAGTTCTAGGCTAGAGTCATGTGAGTACCATAGACCAAGTTCAGGACATCCACACAGGTATCTGAAAATTCTTTTGACAGCACTTAAGTGACTCTGTTTAGGTGAACTCTGGAACCGAGCACACACACAGACACTATACATGATGTCTGGACGACTAGCAGTCAGGTACAACAGGGACCCTATCATCCCTCTGAACATTTTTTCATTTACTGATGTTCCTGTATCATCCTTAGTTAATTTAGTATTAGCTGCCATGGGGGTTATAGCTGGTTTTAAGTTTCCAAAATCAAAACGTTTTAACATGTTGCGAAGATATTTGGTTTGACAAATAAAAGTTCTAGCAGGAGTTTGTTTTATCTGAAGTCCTAAAAAGAAGTTTAATTCTCCCATTAGACTCATCTCAAAGGCACTCTTCATTTTTATTTCAAAATCTTTGCAGAGTTTTTCACTTGTAGACCCAAAAATGATGTCATCCACATACACTTGTACTAACATAATATGTTCCTTTTCTTGCTTAATAAACAAGGTCTTGTCTACCTTGCCTCTTCTAAATCTATTTTCTATCAGAAATGAGCTGAGTTTGTCATACCATGCTCTGGGAGCCTGTTTTAACCCATATAAAGCTTTCTTTAGTTTATATACATGATTGGGATAGTTGTGGTTTTCAAAACCTGGAGGTTGAGATACATATACTTCTTCTTTTAAATCTCCATTTAAAAAGGCGCTTTTTTACATCCATTTGAAACAGTTTAAAACCTTTAGAACTGGCAAAGGCACATAGCATACGAATTGCTTCTAACCTTGCAACAGGAGCAAAGGTTTCCTCAAAGTCCATTCCCTCTTCCTGACAGTAACCTTGTGCTACCAATCGTGATTTGTTTCTAATTATCGTTCCTATCTCGTCTGATTTGTTTTTATAAATCCATTTAGTTCCAATTATTGTTCGATTTTCAGGTTTAGGTACCAGTTCCCACACATTTGCACGTTCAAACTGGTTCATTTCCTCAAACATAGAAGCCGTCCAGAATTCATCCTGAAGAGCTTCTTCTACATTTTTAGGTTCGACTAAAGACACAAAAGCTGCTAGGGATGCTAAAGTTCTGGAGCGAGTTGTCATACCTTGGTTCAGTCCTCCAATAATTTGACTGGGAGGATGTCGCCTGACTATGTGTGGAGGTGGTTGTACCAAGTTTCTTTGTGATTCATCTTCCATATCAATCTCTTCTTCTTTTGACTTGTCCGAGACTGATACTTCTTTCTCGTTTGAGGAAGATTCTTCTGAGTTTGTGGCTTGAGATGCTTCTGTTGATCCTAGTTTATTCTGCATGATACTTGTTCCAAGCCCAAAATCATCATCGTCTAGTATATCTGCACACTCAATAACACCCTCATCAAATATCAAGTTGGCGGACTCCTCAACCTTGAGGGTCCGCTTGTTAAAAATCCTGTATGCCTTGCTTGAATTTGAGTATCCTAAGAATACCGACTCATCAGATCTTGCATCGAACTTCCCTAGGTTGTCCTTGGTGTTCAAGGAATAGCATTTGCACCTATAGGTGTCAAAATATAGCCCGACCCGATTAACCCGCCCGATCAACCCGACCCGCAACCCGATCGCAACCCGAATTGACTAAAAGTCAACAACCCGTAACCCGCCCGACCCGCAACCCGATTGACCCGCAACCCAACTAACCCGCAACCCGATTAACCCGAACCCGATTGACCCGCAACCCGACTGACCCGCAACCCGATTAACCCGAACCCGATTGACCTGAACCCGACTAACCCGTAACCCAACCAACTCAACCCGAATTTCATCTAATCCACTAGAATAATTATAAAAATATACAATACATAGTTTTTCAAAATAAAGTTTTTCATTCTTAACTTAAGTAAAATTATTTTTTCATTTCGTATAAGAAATTTTAAAAATATGAAACTCACTTGATATTACGTATTTTAAGAAAATTACAAAAAATTGAAACATGAAGATCACTTGAGATCATGACAATATTAATATAATATATAAATTAAAATTTTGGTTAATTTAACTATTCAATAAATTTATCAATTAAATATAAATAAAGTAAAGTAATGTATTTGGTAATTTGATGTTTTTAAAAGAAGAGGGAAATTTTGGTGTATTCAAGTTTTTGGGAAGAGAAAGAAGAGGGAAATTTGGTTCTTTGAATTTTTTAGAAAAGAAACAAGTGGGAATTTTGGTGGTTTTGATATGTGTGAAGAGAAAGAAGTGGGAAAATTTGATTCTTTTGATTATGAAAGAGAAATAAGGAGGGATACTTTTGACTTTTCAACTTTTTGTAGAAGGAAAGAAGAGGGTAATTTGTTTATTTCAATTTTATGGAAGAGAAAGAGGAGGGAAAATTGAGTTTTTCTAATGTATGGAAGGAGAAAGAAGGAGAGAAATTTTAGTATTTTTGTGAAAAGAAAGAAGGAAATAAATTTGGTGTTTTCAATTTTTTGGTTTTTCATAATTATAGCTTTTGAAATATGAATCTTTAACTTTTATATGGAGGGCATGAATAGTTAAAATTATTCTTATATGCTTTGAAGGCTAATATGTATATATGTATGTAATTTTTTATGGGCTAATAAATAAATTAACCATAAGTTACAACAATTTATACTAAACTTGATAAGTAATCTTTGACGGTTCGTTGTTTAGGATATCAAGTATATGGTTAGGGTATAAGGTATAAGGTACATATGGTTAGGGTGTATACGGTTAGGGTATAAGATATTGATGGTTTTGACGGTTCTAAGTTTCTTATTAACATATGTTCACTTGAAGTCATTTGAAGTCTTTAACGGCAGGAGATCCCTTTTTAATTTATGTTTATGGTACGTGGTTAGGGTACAAGGTATGTGGTGTAAAGTATAGGATATATGTTTAGTGTATAACAATTAGCAAATATCACTTTTTATCTATGTTTTGAAAATCAAAGTATGAATTTCACTTTTAAATTAACTATACTAGCAAAATCACAACTCAAGGACATATGATTAGGGTATAGGTTATGTGGTTAGTGTATAATGTATTGATGGTTTAGGGTATACAATCAACAACATATACTAACTTAATATTGTTGATTGAGGGTAAAGTTAAGTGTATAGGATATATGCTATTGAGTAAGTTATGATTGAAGTCACAATAATTTTACTAAATTTGATAGCTAATCTTTAATGGTTCAATTTTTATGATAATTCGAACAATTTTACAAATAACAAGTTTGGCAACAGTTTACTAAAGTTATTTGGGCAATGAGTTATTTTGAAATAACTCCTTTTATCACTATGCTTTTGCCAAATACCACATGCCAAATACCATATTTGAATGGTTATACTAAACGAGATACTTTAATCCAATTACTACTGAATTAATACTAAAATATCAAATAAACAATTAACGGTGTCTTTTGGTTGCAAATATTGATATCACCATTACTATTAGCTATAATACTTTACCAATTATGATTAATTACATAACAAGTTTGCAAGTCATACAAATTGATTTAACATTTTGACTAGTTTTTTTCAAAAAATTAAAGTATATATATACGAGGTAGAAATAAATTGGTTAAAAAGTTGAGAAAATATTTTAAATTAGTGTAATAAAATGTGTAAGTTGGTAATGAGTAATGAGTTAAGTTACTTGATGCGCTGGCCCGAACAACTCGAAACCCAACCCGCCCGCAACCCGCCCGACCCAAAACCCGGTGAACCCGCAACCCGATTTGCCAGCAACCCGATTGAATCTGAACCCGATGAACCCGCAACCCGACTAACCCGCAACCCGTTTGAACCCGAACCCGATGAACCCGAACCCGATGAACCCGAAACCCGACTAACCCGCAACCCGTTTGAATCCGAACCCGATTGAACCCAGCCCGAACCCGCCCGATTGACACCTATATTTGCACCAAAAAGGGTGAAAGTATCCTAGGTTAGGCTTTCTTCCTCTCCATATTTCATAGGGGTTTTTGTTTAAGGTTTTTCTTATTAGAGCTCGATTAGTTATATAACATGCTGTATTAACTGCCTCTGCCCAAAAATACTTAGGCAAGTTGTAGTCATGTAGCATAGTGCGTGCAATATTAATTAAAGTTCTATTTTTTTTTCCATTACTCCATTTTGTTGTGGAGTCCTAGGAGCAGAGAAGTTATGTGAGATTCCTGAGTCATTACATAGTTGCTCAAACATATCAGAACAAAATTCCC